AGCGAAACGTCTTCTGTTACAAATAAAGTACAGTTGTTTTTGTCTTGAACTTTTTTGAATAAAGTTTCTATAATTGTATTTATCTTGAGAGGGCATGCTGACTTTTAGTAAGTGATCATGATTGACTGTAGCTTGGTAGTTAAAAATAGTTTGTTTGAACATGATTATCTGTTAGTTTCAGTAAAAAGGACACTGGTTAGGATCTTCACGAACAACTCAGGAACCCAATAAGGCTCAAGCTTGTCATCATCTGGAAACAGCTGGAACTCCAGTGTTACTGTTAGCAGTGATATGACTTTTACACCTGCAGACGTGCACCAGCGACAGCCCCTTATTTGTTCAGGGCAGACCAAGAAAGAAACATCTGCTCAAAAAACAACACTTTAAAGCTTGAGAGAGAAGCCCAATGACTTCTGGGTAAACCACTAATAGTCAGATGAGCCATAGCTTTTAGGTATTTGGCCAAAACAACAAGAAGTATGTTTGGAGGAGTCAAGATGAGGTTCTCTAAACCCACAAACTCTGTACCACTTGTCAAGCATGGTGGTGGTATCATCATACGGTGGTGCTGGTGCATTGCACAAAGTGGAATAAGAAAGAAGCAGAACTGCCCTTAAAATATTCAACTTCACCTCAAATCAACAAACGGGGGCACAGTTCCAACAGGACAAAGATCTTAATTACACACATGTGCGCACACACACCAAAACTAATTTATGAATGAATGAAGCAAGCAACAATAAACTTCTAATATGATCTTCCCAAAGCCCAAATCTTAAGCCTACTGCAAATTTTCAGACTATACATAAAAGTCCTTTGTCGACCCTGTGTGGATAAAAGAAAATCCATCATGAATTATAACTTGTGCACCAAATTCGTGTTTTTTTTTTTAAAAGAGTGAAGTTTATGTCATTATATTGAGTGTAACTAGTAACTGCAGCAACCCTGCTAAGATTTAGCTTTGACTATAACTTTAAACACATTTAAACTGCATTAAATGACATATAATGTTCTGGGACCAGAATGTCAAAAAACATTTCATTTATGCCTTTGCTGCACTTTCAAATCAAATTGCAGATTACCTGAAGTTGCAACAAACGGCGTCTCTCTGTGCATTTCCTGTTTGTGCTAAAGCCACATTAAACTGTCTTTTCAGAAAAAGCTGAAGTTCTTGTCCTCAGGGCCAGCCTCCCGTCTCATTTCCACCTTCAGCTGCCTGAGCTGGAATTTAATGAAATTATTGGCTCTGGTAGGTCCATTCCTCTTTGTTTTCCCTTTCAGCTAATGTACTTGCAAATCTGATAATAATATTGATGAGCGTATTTGTTACACACACAGGCTCCTTTGGGAGAGTCTACAGAGGCAAATGCAGAAACAAAATTGTCGCCATAAAACGGTATTTTTTTCCCACCACTGAGACAAAGAAGTGACGTAGTATCTCCTCTGTTTGAAGAAACTGAAAGATGATCAGCTGTTTTGATTTTCTGCTCTTGTCTGCAGCTATCGAGCCAACACGTACTGCTCAAAGTCAGATGTGGACATGTTCTGCAGAGAGGTTTCCATCCTCTGCCGCCTCAATCACCCCTGCATCATCCAGTTTGTAGGCGCGTGCCTGGATGACCCCAGTCAGTTCGCCATTGTCACCCAGTATGTCTCTGGAGGCTCGCTGTTCTCCCTGCTTCACGAACAGAAGAGGTGAAAACATTTGTCTCGTAAAAACACACCAAAGTACAGCTATGTTTTACCAATAAATCATCAAATCTTATTGTTTTCTGTCATAAGGCCATGTGCTGTGACTTGGTTAGTTAGGAAGCAGCTAGAAACCTCACACAACTACAGAATGACGAAAGTAACAAGATGAGTTAAAAAAAAAAGATAAAATGCCCACAAATAGAATTATAATGGCTGCATAGACCAGTCCAGACATTGATTCAAGTTGAATTTTTTTTTTAAATAATTTCAACTGATGAAATAATATATTTGTTGGTTGACCATAGCACTTCATACTAATAATACTTGTAGCTCTTTTTGTAAAATAAAAATAAGGTTTGTAATTGTTTTGCATGATTTTCCCCAAACTTCAATACAATAAATTAAATATGGAACAAGCATTACATTATACAATATATACAAAGCTTTGTCATTCAAAAACTATTTTACTTTATTCAGTAATGCAATGGATTTTGCTATTTTTATTCTCAAGTAATTTACGAGATATCCATGTCAGCTTCTCATCAATAAAGACGCCCCAAAATTTTATTTCATTAACTCTATGAATTTCAGTATTGTCAATTTTAAATGAGACTTCAATAATTTTCTTTTTATTACTAAATATTATGTAGTTTGTTTTTTCCAAAATCAATGATAACTTATTAAGTTGGAACCAAGTTTGTATTTTTATGAATTCTGCCTGTATCATCTCTTAAAATTCGTTCAATATCTTCACCCAAACAAACAAACAAACAAAAAAAAGTGCAAATAAAACACACTTCCAAAACCCTGACACGTCAACCAGATCATTCCCATACAAAATAAACAACTTTGGTCCCAAAACAGTGCCCTGAGGAACTCCACATCCATTCACACAAAATTCAGATCTTACATATTCAATGCATATAACACATAATACCACTCAGAAACAACAATAAAAGACAGGGAGAAAACAAAAGAACTATCATTAGATTAAAAACAACCAGAAACACAAAACAATAAAAGAAACAGATAAAATAAACACAAAATCTGCACCAAATGACAAAGCTGCAAAGCTTGTCCATCCATCACCAATATGGAGTTTTTATATTGTGGTAAAAAAAAATCAGGCCCAGGATGCTGTCATGACTCAACCAAAAGTGAGTATTTTTATCAATACATTCATTTGTAACTACAATTCTAATTAAATTTTAAACTTACCAAGTGCAAGTGGGCTTCTTTTAAATCTTTAGTCTTCTTCAGTATCTTCAGTGTGGAGGTGGTAATGAGTTGAAGATGTTTGGTGCTGTGTAATAAGCACTTGTTTGCACAAGTCTCATCAGCCAGTGAGCGTCAGGTTCACCAGTCTGCGCCCCTCAACCGGGATCAGCATTGATCCAGATAAAGTGTGTGGCCAGGTGCCGTCTTTATAGACTGTCCTATTGATCTGTGTAAAGTGCTGTGTGTGATTGGCAGAGCTTATTGATCCAGTGCTAAGTGGTTGCTGCTTTAATGATGTGTCAATGGACAGGCTTATCGACCTGCAGTCCAAGCTCATCATTGCCATCGACGTGGCCAAGGGCATGGAGTACCTACACAACCTCACCCAGCCCATCATCCACCGGGACCTCAACAGGTCCGAGTCACAGTAATCACATGTGTGCTGCTGCTTCGGTGTTTATAGTCTAAAATAACAGCTGTCGTTAACAATAATCGGCGTCTTCCTTCCAGTCACAACATCCTGCTTTATGAGGATGGACATGCAGTGGTGGCTGACTTTGGAGGTGAGAAGTCACAATTCACTTTTTCAGTTTATGAGTTAATCCAACCACAGCAGCCATCTCCAACAGTGGAGATCATCACACTGTTGGTTTATTTTCAAGAATAACAGCACTACATTAAAATGTGGCTGATGTTGACCAGTTTGAACACACTATTACGTAGTGCATAACTTTTGTTCCTGACTCAACTTATGCACTTTGACACCTCTATACTTGTTAAATGCACCTATTGTCTTGTAATTGTTTCTTCAGCCTCCCTTGAATGTAGATTTTAAGTCATCCATCCATCCATCCATCCATCCATTATCTTTACCCGCTTCTTCCTTTTTGGGTCTTGGGAGTCACTGGTGCCCATGTTCAGTGGTCATTGTGCGAGAGACAGGGTACACACTGGACACGTCTCCAGTCCATCACAGGGACACATAGAGACAAACAACCATTCACTCTCTCACTCACACATAGAGACAATTTAGAGTTACCAATCAGCCTAACATGCATGTTTTTGGTCTGTGGGAGGAAACAGGAGTACTTGGAGAAAACCCATGCATGCATGTATAGAACTGTATCATGCAAAATGCTCTTTAACTGAATGTGAACTAAGTAAATCCATTGCTGCAGTGTTGGATGTGAGATGTTTGCATGTGTTTATTGTCATTGTTTTTACTAGTGTTGGGTATTGAACCATGAGGTACGGTGGCAGCGTCATATTAAGGTCCAGTTATCCTGCATGTTCAGTATTGGTTCTTCAGCCTTGTATCCTGTATAAATAGATTGTTGAAGATGAACCAAAATTTTAAATAATATAATGCAATGTAATATAATTTGGGACTTGTGGTGTCTGGTTGGTTGTCGGCTGCGGGTTCAAGCCCAGGTTGCGTCAGGAAGGGCTACGAGCGTAAAAGAACAGCCAAAATGTTTGCGCACGTTTACTTGCTGTGGTGAGCCCTGCAGAGGGGAGCAGCCAAAAGAAAAACAACAATAACACATTGTAATAAAACTAAATGTCTAAATGATCAAACGTGACCAAATTGTTTTCACATTTTTTAATAAAGAACATTGTTTTTGAAGTTTAAATCGAGAAACGTTCAACTTTTATCCATTTTAGTGTTCACACTGCAAGTAAACACCTGAGGGTTTTTTAGGGATGTGCAAAGAAATGAATTCAAATTTTGTCCACATTCACTTTTCACATGCAGTTAACAGCAAGAGTTCATCTGCCGGGGATATGTTCTCACAGCATGAAAATACACAGTGTGTTGTCTGACTAAAGCTCAAAAGATGCAGAGCACGAGGTGCAAAGCGTGTTCTGGTAGCAAATCACCACAAGAGGTCAGAGGAGAACATCGAGAATATTTCAATTTTCACATGGAATTTTTTTTTGCAGTCAACCTTTATTTATACAGGTTAGTCTCATTGCATTAGGAAAATGTAGCTGAGTTTGATCTGTTGACTCTTCAAGAAGACCTGATCCTTCTTTGATGCACACTGAACGCCACATACTAAACACAGTGTGCAGTCAGATAATTACCAAGCAGTTCAGTCACGTGTTTGTTTTATAAATTGAGTTGCAGTATTCTAATTTTTAGTAAAAAAAAAATGGAATTTAAACAAGGCTTTTCTGCTGGTTTGCAATGGACTGAGATTATGCAGATTTAAAGGAATTCAATTCAATTGAATTCAGTTTATTTATATAGCGCCAAATCACAACAAAGTTGTCTCAGGGCACTTTACAGGAACATTCACATACATAAAAGCCAATTAGTAAAGTTCTCTATCTAAGGAATCCAGCAGACAAGTTGAATCTTGGCTTTGTTGCAGTCTCCCATCCTGAGCAAGCACAGTGGCAACAGTGGAAAGGAAAAGCTCCCTTTTAAAGGAAGAAACCTCCAGCAGAACCAGGCTCAGGACAAGCGGCCATCTGCTTTGACCGGCTGGTTTGAGAGGACAGGAAGGAGAGACAGACGAACATAGAATGGTAGGTCCAGGTGCATCTGAAAGACAAAAAAAAACACATGTTAAGGATAGAAAAATAATTACAAATACAAAACAGGTTGAGAGTAAGTAAAGACAATAGCAGAGTGAAAAATTGTGGTCAGTTTGTCCTCCAGCAGTCTAAGCCTATACCAGCATAACTAAGGGACAACTCAGGAAACCCAAGCCGACCCTTACTATAGGATTGATCAAAAAGGAAAGTCTTAAGCCTAGTTTTAAAACTGGATAATGTGTCAGCCTCACGGACAGTGATTGGAAGTTGGTTCCACAAGAGAGGAGCCTGATAACTGAAAGATCTGCCTCCCATTCTGTTTTTGTAAATTCTAGGAACCACAAGTAAACCTGCAATCTGAGAGTGAAGTGCTCTGTTTGGAAAATGTGGAACAATAAGATCTGTAATATAAGATGGAGCTAGGTTGTTGAGAGCTTTGTAGGTTAGAAGTAAGATTTTGAATTCTATTCTGGATTTGACAGGGAGCCAATGGAGAGAAGCTAAAACTGGAGAGATATGATCTCTCCTACTAACTCCAGTTAAGACTCTGGCAGCAGCATTTTGGATCAACTGAAGACGTTTTAAAGAAGTATTTGGACATCCAGATAATAAACCATTGCAATAGTCCAGTCTAGACATGACAAATGCATGAACCAGTTTTTCTGCATCATGTTTAGATAAGATATTTCTAAATTTAGTGATATTACGCAGATGGAAGAAGGCAGTTCTAGTAACGTTTTTAATGTGAGGGATAAAATACATGTCCTGATCAAAAATAACACCAAGAAGGAACATCCACAACTTCTCTAATTTAAGTTGAACATTTAAATAGATGAGCTTCAGTCTCACTGAGAGATGCTTTTCTACATCTTTTCACAATCCTTAGTATGCTCAGTCTTGGGCTGGCATGGTGGCGCAGTTGGTAGAGCTGTTGCCTCTCAGCAAGAAGGTTGTCGGATCAAATCTCGGCTGGGGACTTTTCTGGGCGGAGTTCGCATGTTCTCTCCGTGCATGTGTGGGTTTACTCCGGGAATTCCAGTTTCCTCCTACAGACCAAAAACATGCATGTTAGTGTAGTGAACTAGGCCTCCGACATCAATCTGTCTCTGAAGACCTTCAGGGGACAGGAACTGTTGTTTCATTTATTTGAATCCAGAAATACAAATTATCTCATCAAGAGACTATTTAATTGTATCCTGAATTAATCAATTGAAAGAACACTCTTCTTTTTATATTATCATTACTATTTTACCCTTTTATGATAATCAAAAGTGTGTTTATTTCATACCATTTCTAATGTTGAAGTGAACCACTCATTTAAATCAACTGTGAAACAGTATTAATGATTTTTAAACCTCATTAGACTTGGATCATACAGTTAAATGTCTATTTACGAAGTGAGTGTGCATTTAGTCTTCTGTCTGAATGAGGAGTAGTGGATTTGAGGGCGAAAGTCAGAGACAAGTTATGAGAATGAAGTGTCTTGTTTTTAAAACTCTCAGACAGTAAATAAGAACTAGCTGGCACCTGCATTCTCTCATTTATTCAAAATATTTCTCTGTCTGTACTAACCGTTCTTAAAACATTTCTGCGGTCTCCTGACTTCTAATAACCCTCTGACATCACTAAAACTACACCCCTGCTGGTTGTTTCAACCAATCAGGAAGTACCAAGTGACAGGAAGTGGATACTTTTTAAAAGGCAACACTTCTTGGAACTATTCAGTCTTCATGAGTCTTCCAAGTCTTCAGTCTTTTCCAATCTTCCTGGAACTTTCAGTCGAAGATGAGACTCAGTCTGATGGAGTCTTACAGCTGAATTAAGTAGCTGATGGATTTGACCATGTGCCAAGGGTCCGTCCATTCCAGCGTAGTCACAGCCTGCCTCAGCTGTGACTCAACCCGAGCAATAAATGTTCAACTTCTAAGGAAGCCTATTCTGTTGAACTGAGTACTTCGTCACGACTTCTGACGACCCCAGCCACTCTGACCGGAGACGCTGAAAAGGGAGCGTGCCAATGGACCTCTGTTCCGGAGTGGAGGTATCCACCATCTCAGGTAGCAAGCCGTTGACGCCCTGAAGTGTACCGGAGGGCTGAGCTGGATTTGGAGGAAGGGTGCCATTTTCTGGTTCAACACATAACTTTCATCCATCTAAACCTCCTCTTTAAATCTATTCCTTCGCTTAAACTTCTATTCGCCAGTAAATCAAGCTAGATGCCTTCAGAGATGAATCAGTCTCAATCAGTAATCTTCTGTTGTTTTGTTTAGTAAATCGTGCCAAGTTTATTAATCAGAAACAGATCAGCAAATCAATGTGTACATGTTTGATGTTAAATTTTGATTCTGTTAAATAAATGACCGCATTTATTCTGATGGGTCAAATATAAAATGGCGTCTCATGTCACTAATTATACACAACTCCACAAGTTATCTTGGTCACATGGCAGAAATTTAACTCGAAAAAGAAAGAATCCGTGTTGATTAAACAATTAATATTCTTTGTGCTTGAACTAGCTTTAAGAATAATTAATTAGTAGTATGTTACAGCGAAACCTGTCCCTACATCACTACATTAGGCTGATTGGTAACTCTAAATTGTCCCTAGTTATGGGTGAAAGTGAATGGTTGTTTGTCTCATTTGTCTCTATGTGTCACTATGACGGACATGAGACCTGTCCAGGGTTACCCCCTCTCGTACAGTGATTGCTGGATATGAGCACCAGTGATCCCCAAAACCCGAAAAGGAAGAAGCGGGTAAAGATAATGGATGGATGGATGCTCAGTCTTGATTCTTACTTATTGTCAGTTAACCTGATTGGTTGTGAGATGACTCAGTAATGTTTTTAGAAATATACTGCTAGCATCACATTTTACTCAGTGCATTATTACCTGACAATTTGCACAGCTTTTCTTTAAATAATGTACTGGTTAATCTGTATTTTTAAAGTGGGCATTTTGATACTGTATGTAGTATTTTGTAGCAAAACTACACCCTTCCTCTGACCCTTGGCTGTTTTTCCTTTACCCTGCAGAATCCAGGTTTTTACAGTCGGTAGATGAGGACAACATGACTAAGCAGCCAGGGGTCAGTAATGTTTGCTCCTTTTTCTGTATTTGATCATCTTGTGACAAGTTTCCTCCCTCCCTTTACTCAGAAACTTCTTCGACTGTTGCCAAAATTAGTCACTTTAAGGGAAAATAAACGTATATGCTGGTATTTTGTGAGAGTTGAAGACAGAGATTCTGCTAGCATCTGCCATCAATTACCCACCGGCTATAAACTGCCTTCGTGCAGAATTTCTCTGAATGTGCTGACTCAGTACTACAGAGTGCTTAGCCCGCAGTTTGATGTTAAGTGTGTTGCATCTCTTGGGATTTGCCTGTTGTGTCGAACTACTTGCCCTTGCCAAAGACTGAATATTTATTACAACAGTTGGGCCCATTGTGCGTGTGTGTGTGTAAATGTATGTTTTTATGTTATTTAGAATCTTTAAAACATCAGTTGTTACTATATTTAAACCAAGTTTGCAAACTAAAATTCACTTTATGCAGTTTTCAACTCTGGAGCCTCTACAAGTATTTCTTTTCATTCTTTTTCGTGTGTGTGCAGAACCTGCGCTGGATGGCTCCTGAGGTGTTTACACAGTGCACTCGCTACTCTGTGAAGGCAGACATGTTCAGCTATGCCCTCTGTCTGTGGGAGCTGCTCACTGGAGAAATTCCCTTTGCTCACTTGAAACCAGGTGATTTTGATTTCACAGGTTGGATGTATACAAACCAGCCACTAGGGAGCACAAGCCAGTGTATATCCAGTGACAATCCCAATCCTGGGTAAATGGTGAAGTTGCGTCAGGAAGGGCATCTGCAAGAAGGGGTCTCTGCAGGCAAATTCGGAAGGCGTATCTGGGCGCTCATATCTGATTGGACTATAGGAAAGTGGGCGTATCTGGGCGGTCATATCTGATTGGACGATAGGAAAATGGGCGTTTCTGGCCGTCCGGATCTGATTGGACGATAGAAAAATGGGCGTGTCTGGACGGCCACATCTGATTGGACGATAGAAAAATGGGCGTGTCTGGACGGCCACATCTGATTGGACGATAGAAAAAAAAAGGCTGAACGATAGAAAAAAAAAGGCTGAACGATAAAATGCTGTAACCACAGACACAAGATGTCTAAAAACAAGGCGTTATTGGCAGATTGTGTTAACCACAGGCATATTATGTCTATGGTGTTAACCGGTTCGACATTAGCGGCGTCTCGGTTCGACATCGCTCCAGTATACTGCCGCGGCGTCTCCATAACTTCTTTTTTCGACTCTCTTAACACAGAACTTCCGGTTACATTTCAAAATAAGAGCAACATAACTGGGTAGTGGGGAGAGCTAAATGTTAGGTTTTTTTTTAATACCTAGCCATAACATTAAAAAAACAAATTCCATTTTGGTTGTTGAAAAATGTGAACAAAGTTACAATCGATTCATAAAGAAAGAAAAATATTAATGATACTTAAACTGGCCTTGGGACAAAGGATGTTTCCTTTAACTTCACATTTTCTTGTTCAACCTGCAGTCACTGCAGATGAGTGATTGTCAGTTTCTGTAAGATTTCTGCAACTGGAGCAGGTATTTCTGTTTACTGGTTAACTTCCTCAGCTGTCTCACATTTTAAAGGTCAACCCTACTCCATGTTTCAGTAGAAAACCAGCACATTTAGGAGTCAGTACATAACCAGACTTTTGGCCCTCACACCTGTACCCAGTTGCTCATGCTGCATGATGAGATCAGATTTATCCATATTTTAGAAATTACATTTAGCTTAGTCGACAAAACAATACAAATGAAGACTGTCTGTCTTAAAAAAACCTCTTGGTTTTGCAGTAAGCAGCCTGATTTCAAACTATCTTGGCCAAAGGTAAAATAAAAATCTTTGTGTTCTCAGAAAAGTTGTTTCAGGACCTCCAATAAACTTATGTACACATCAAAGCACACAAGACAGATTCAGGAATTGTCTTTGTTTTCCAGATTTCACATTTGTTATTACCTTAAAACATACTCAGACAACATTTGATGCATCATTGAATTTTTTTTATTGTTTATTGGGACATCCATTTTTAGAAGTCATCGTAGCATCAGTTGGAAACACAAAACATAGTACAGTTAGGGTGTTGCTAGTTGTTACTTATTGTAATGTGTGGGCATCACAGTACAAGAGCTAGACTACTAACCCTGCATCCATGGCACAAAGTGGCTGCAGTACCCAGGAGGAATGGCTTCACTGTAGAAGGCCCTCAGCTCGCCTCTTTTGCCGCTGCCCCAGAAACCTGCACCACAATCTTTAAATTCTTCTCCACAGCTGAAGCAGACAGAAATGACATAAGGCTTTCTGTGCTCAGCCTGAAACTCTTCAGAATATTTCCTCCACTTCACAACACCTGAAATTGTAATAAAAATATGATTAGATCACCAAGCACAACATTTTTACAAAATAGCAGTTCTACACGGCCTGGGCTGTTTTCCTTCCCCAATCTATTCAAAATGAATACCAAAAGGTAATTTTGATATTTTTTTCACAAGAAAAAAAAAGTTGATTTCCTAAAGTTTAACTATAAATGAAGGAATTTGTGCATTCAGGTAATTGAAAAATAAGTAATTTCTCTAACATCCAACCCATTTTAGCCACTGAGCCATACCAAACACTCATAATCTATTCTTGAATGAATTATTGACTATTATTGACAAATTACAGACTTATTATTGAATAAGTTATTACTCATTATTGAATCATTGACAAATTACACTCATGTTCGTGTTAACTCATGTTGCAACAAGGTCAGCAACTTTTGACTATTACTATGAACTATGTTAAACTTTGGAGGTGATTTATTTTGAAAGTCAACATCAGATGTTGGTCAACATTGTTGAGCAACATCTTGGGGTTTTCTAGAGTCAACCTGAAGTGAGAGTGGTTCCTGACATGGCAGAAAGACATAGATATAATTAACAGCTTTTATTTGTTTGTTTTTCAGCTAATAACAACTTTTATTTATTTGTTTTTCATATTTTTCAGTTATACACAGCTTTTAAATATTTATTTTTCAAGTATTAAGAACATTTATTTCAGCTTTTATTTTGAAAAGCAACACCCAGTTGTTGTAAACGTGCACAGTGAGAGCTGCTGTGGAGGCTCACTTTACCTCAGTGCGTTACAACAACAACGAGAGAACGGTCGAAACTATCGTGACCTACAATAAACGTACTTCAATAAAATGCATAAGTGAAAACATAACATACTTTATAAGTACAATAAATCATACTTCTTTGTCAAACATCGCAAAGAAACGTTACCTCATCAATAATCCTCGTGACTTTGAGGGTTACCCACAGCCAATCAGTGTTCGCCGCCGACAAACGCCTATTAAATACTGTTAGCCAATCAGTGTTCGCCGTCCATAAACGCCTATTTGCCAGAAACGCCCACTTTTGGTCTGCAGAGACCCCCTTCTCGGCATCTGACATAAAACACTTTTGCCAAAACTAATATGCAAGTTCTTCTAAGCGATACCATACCGGATCAGTCGAGGACAAGGTTAACAATGGCTGCCACCGGTGCTGTTGACAAACAGGGTGCTGGCGGAAACTGTGTTACTTTTAGTCAAAGACAACAAGGAGGGAAATGTGTCAGGAGGGAGAGGAGGAAAGTCAAGAATGTAGGACTGCCGGGGGGTGGGGGGCTAATTATAAATGTGGGGACAATTACAGGCAAAGGTAGAGAGCTGGCCGACATGATGCAGAGAAGGAAGGTAGATGTTTTATGTGTCCAAGAGATCAAGTGGAAGGGCAGCAAGGCTCGCAGTATTGGAGCAGGGTTTAAAATGTTTTACCATTGTGTGGATAGAAAGAGAAATGGAGTAGGGGTGGTACTGAAGGAGGAGTTGTCAAAGAATGTAGTAGAGGGGGAAAAAATTGTCAGATAGGGTGATGTGTCTGAAGGTAGAAGTAGAAGGTCTGATGCTAAACATTGTCAATGGTTATGCTCCACAGGTTGGATGTGACTTAGAACTGAAAGGTAAATTTTGGAAGGATATGGATGAAGTGATAGAGTATTCCTAGGGAAGAAAGAGTGGTGATGGGAATAGACCTGAATAAACATGTGGGTGAAGGAAAAAGAGGGAATGAGGAAGTGATGGGTAGGTTTGAAGTCAAGGAAAGAAACCAGGAAGAACAGATGGTGGTGGATTTTACCAAGAGAATAGAAATGGCTTTAGTCAACACTTGTGTTCAAAAGAGGGAAGAAAAAGAGTGGAGGAAGGAGTACGCAGGTCGACTACATTCTGTGTAGAAGAGAAAACCTGAGGGAGATTGGGGACTGTAAGGTTGTAGCAGGGGAGAGTGTGGCCAGATATCATCGAATGGTTGTGTGTAGAATTAATGTTGTTGTGAAGAAAAGAAAAAGAGTAAAATCTGAGAGGAAGAACAAATGGTGGAAGCTGGGGAAAGGAGAATGTTGCGAGAAATTCAGAGAGGAGCTGTTAAAGGCTCTGTGTGGTAAGAAAGACCTTCCAGATGACTGGACTACTACAGCAACAGTAATTAGAGAGACAGGTAGGAAGGTACTTGGTGTGTCATCTGGACAGATAATGGATGATAAAGAAACCTGGTGGTGAAATAGTGAAGTGCAGGAAGCTATTCAAAGAAAGAGGTTAGCCAAGAAGAAATATGACAGAGGACTGAAGAGAGGAGACAGGAACATAAGGAGATGGGACGTAGAGCAAAGAGGGAGGTAGCAAAGGCAAAGCAGAAGGCAGAGTTGTACAAAAGCCTGGACACTAAAGGGCGAGAAGGACTTATACCGATTGGCAAGACAGAGGGATCAGGCTGGAAAGGATGTGCAGCAGGTTAGGCTTATTAAATATAGGAATGGTAATGTTCTAACAAGTGAAGAGAGTGTGACCGGAAGATGGAAGGGATACTTTGAGGAGCTAATGAATGAAGCGAATGAAAGGTAAAGAAGAGTAGAGGTCAAGCTGTGGTCCAGGAAGTGGGAAAGATTAATGAGGGTGAAGTTTGGAAAGCTCTGAACATAATGAAGATGGGGAAGTAGTAGGACTTGATGACATACGAGCGGAGGTTTGGAAATGTCTTGGAGAGATGGCAGTGAGGTTTTTGACTCAAATATTCAATGGCATATTTGAGGGTGAGAAAATGCCTGAAGAATGGAGAAGCAGTGTGCTGGTGCCCATTTTTAAGAACAAGGGTGATGTACAGAGTTGTAGCAACTACAGGGGAATTAAGTTGATGAACCACACAACGCAAATCTGGGAGAGAGTTGTGGAAGCTAGACTTAGACGAGAGGTGACTATCTGTGAGCAGCAGTATGGTTTCATGCCAAGAAAGAGCACCATAGATGGTAAATGGTAAATGGACTGCACTTATGTAGCACATTTTTTGTCTTATCAACATACTCAAAGCACTTTACACTAAAATCTGTGCCCTCATTTACACATTCATACGGCACTCTACTATATCTGTACAAAGACTAATCAGATCTTTAGATCACATTTACACACCGATGGGACACACATTGGAGACAATGAGGGGTACAGTGTCTTGCCCAGGGACACTTCAACATGTGACTGTTGGTGGAATCGAACCCCCAACTCTCCCACTGGAGGACAACTGCTGTAACCACTCAGCCACAGCTGATGCCATCTTTGCTTTGATGATGCTGATGGAGAAGTACAGAGAGGGTCAGAAAGAACTTCATTTTATCTTTGTGGATTTAGAAAAAGCATATGACAGAGTGTCGAGGGAGGAGGTGTGGTATTGCATGAGGAAATCTGGAGTGGCAGAGAAGTATGTTAGACTGGTACAGGACATGTATGAGGACAGCAGGACAGTGGTGAGATGTGCTGCAGGAGTGACAGATAGCTTCAAGGTGGAGGTGGGAGTGCATCGAGCATCAGCTCTGAACCCCATCTGTTTGCTCTGGTGATGGACCGACTAACAGATGAGGTCAGGCAGGAATCCCCATGGACTATAATGTTTGCAGATGACATTGTGATCTGTGGTGAGAACAGGGAAGAGAACTTGGAGAGGTGGAGGTATGCACTTGAAAGAAGAGGAATGAAAGTCAGCTGTAGTAAGACAGAGTACATGTATGTGAAAGAGGGGGAGGCTGGTGGAACAGTGAGGTTACAAGGAGCAGAGGCCACAAAGGTGCAGGACTTCAAGTACTTGGGGTCCACTGTCCAGGAAAATAGGGAATGTGGTAAAGAGGTGAAAAAGAGAGTCCAGGCAGGATGGAGTGGATGGAGAAAAGTTTCAGGAGTGATTTGTGACAAAAGGGTGTCAGCAAAGGTCAAAGGAAAAGTTTACAAGACAGTGGTGAGACCAGCTCTGTTGTATGTTCTGGAGGCAGTGGTAATGACAAAAAGACAAGAGGAAGAACTGGAAGTGGAAGAAATGAAGATGTTGAGGTTCTCCTTAGGCGTGACAATGAATAAAAATGAGATCATCAGAGGTACAGCACAGGTTGAACAACTGGGAGATAAAGTTATAGAGAACAGACTGAGATGGTTTGGACACGTCAAGAGGAGGGACCGTGGGTGTACTGGTAGAAGGATGTTAGAAATACAGCTGCCAGGAACAAGACAAAGAGGAGATATATGGATGCAGTTAAGAGAGGACATGGAAGTAGTTGGAGTGAAGACAGAGGATGCAGAGGACAGAGTGAGATGGGGGAGGATGACTCTCTGTGGAGACTTTTCTAGAGGGAAAAGCCGAAAGAAGAAGAAGAAGAAGATTGTCTTATTGTTAAGTGATATCCTTTTTATTTGTAAAAATTTATTTAAAAAAAATGCAAACAGAACTTGTACACATCAGGAAACTAGAATTTGACATCTAACTCAGAACAGTGTTTTTGTTCTCAGCTGCTGCAGCAGCAGACATGGCGTACCATCATATCCGGCCTCCTATTGGCTACTCCATCCCTAAACCCATTTCTGCACTTCTGATGAGAGGCTGGAACTCGTGCCCAGAGGTAACCCTGAGTTCACTTTGTCCTCTTGTAGTCCTTCAGTTTTAGAAATTTTAGATCAAATTAAACATATTCTTTGCTAACCTTTATGCCGCCTTCAGTTTATATAGTTATAGTATAGTAATTGTATAGTTTGGTTATTCTGACAGATGTGATATCCCTGCAGGACATGCTCAAGACTGCACCAGAAGTGCAACAGCTAGTTCCCACTGCCACTGTCTTCACTTTTTTTTTTTAGTTTATTCAGTTTATTCACACACACGCACGCACGCACACACACACACACGAAAGAATCATAATACATATCTGCAAAATAACAGTGCGTGAATCAGGTCTCCAAAAAGCTATTTAAAGCTTATAGACGGAGCCTGGGTACATATGGCATACAAATTATAACATATTAAAATAACATCACAATAAAACATCAGTCCTCATAAAAATTCCACATACAATACAGATTGTTACCTCTGCTCAATCAGTTACAGGTCCTACAAGTGATCTCAAGTATATAAATGGAGCAATTTGGTCTTTAACTGTTTTTTGAAGGTGGAGATGAATTTCAACTCTTTCAAACTCTCATCAAGCTCGTTCCAAATCTGTGGACCCCTCCCAGAAAAGGTTTGACTAGTTATTCTAAGTCTTCTATATTTAGTGTAGATAAGATGTTTTTTCCTGGTTTCATAAGTATGTTGTAGACCACTGATTGGAACGAGCTCTGTTAATCTTTTATTAGTTTTATTTACAATTTGAAACATCAAACTGGCATTTTGAAACACATTTAATTCTGTTAGCTGAAGAAGACCAAAACGATGGAATAGATGGGATGTGGGGGAGTTATACTCGGACCATGACACGGCTCTTATCTTTTTTTGAAGACTTTCAAATTTCTTAAGATAACTATGGTAAGTATTGTACCATATAACATTACAGTATGTAAGGTGTGGCTCAATGAGAGTTTTCTACATTGTTAAGAGCGTGGATAGAGGCAAATATCGTAATTTAAAAAACAAGCCAACTTAAAAATACCCAAAGAGTTATATTTAAATAACTGCTATGAAAACTGACAGTAATGTAAATATTGAAATATTTATTAAATAGTGTTTTCTCAACCTTAATCAAACTATGGGAATAAAGTTGTTTTTAGATGACAGCAGTCCGATTTGTTGTTGGCCTCATTTAGACCAGCTGTTAGCTCAGAATTAAACTCTTATTTGGCCAAAGTGACATTTAAAGAGCTATCTACAACAGGTAAGATATTAATTGTTCATGAGCTTTTCATAGAACTTCACTTCCAAAGATGTGAACTATTGTTTTAACTCAAAATAGATTAATGGAATGTAAAATACATTAGTCTCATCCATCCTGTTATCTGCAATGAGTGACTGCTGCATTGTCAGCTGTTCCTTTGAGCACATGCAGCACTGATGAGGGATAGAGGGCAGTCCCCAGATGATACATCATTTAGGAGCAGAGCACGATGCCGCGATGCTCATAATTAGCCCTGGATGCTTTCTGCTCTACTTCACCAAGATACATTATTCCATGGGACAAACATCTTTCTCTTTGTGCTACATGTTCTTCCTGTTTGCAAGTCACGGATGCCCAACATGTCACCTGTTTGCCTGATTGTCCCAGATCAACGTCATGAAATCATTTATTTAACCGGCGCCACGGATATAATGAGGAAGCAACATCTTTCTCAACTGAGCACAAATTTTACGTAACTGCTTCCTAAAGCTAAAACAGTTAATTTCTGCTCATGATAAATTGCACAGTTTCTGTCAAACCCCTCAAATAAGAGCATTCAAACCAAAGAAAATATTAAAATGTTGTGTTTTTCTGATAATTTTTCAGTTTTATGTCTTGATATACTGAGATGCAGACGGGTCGGGGCTGCTGTCTGAGGCTGGGATGTATGATGGAGCAGGTCTCAAGGTGCAGCGTTTGTTCTGTGAAGCAGGTGATCTGAAGGACTGCTTTTAGAAGCAGAGTTCACCTTTGCTTCACATGTGGGTGGACAGATAAAAATACAGGACAGTGTCAGAGAGAACACACCTGATCATGTTCCTTTAAAAACATGTTTAATGCAACTGATGCCTTGTTTCTGATTTCAGGACAGGCCTGACTTCTCTGAAGTTGTCTCCAGCCTGGAGGAGTGCCTGTGTAATGTGGAGGTGTGTAAAATCCAGTCTATCTGCTTTACCCAGATATTTTCTAAGGTTGTGATGTTTTCTTATTTCTTTCCTGGCATGTGTCACAGCTGATGTCTCCAGCTTCAAGCAACAGCAGCGGCTCCCTGTCGCCCTCCTCCTCCTCGGACTGTCTGCTCGGGCGAGGAGGACCGGGCCGGAGCCACGTGGCTGCCCTGCGCTCTCGTTTTGAGCTGGAGTACGCTCTCAACACTCGCGCCTACGCCTTCTGGACTCAGAGGTAGGACACTCAAGTACCTTCTCAGACATGTGAAGATCAGGAGGTGGAGAATGCACAATGATCACATCAACACTCACTGAGTGCTTCAGCACTGACTGAAGCAGTTTGGGCTTTTCTTTAGACTAAGACATGCTTATCTTAAAAAAATCAATGTTAAAAATAAAATGTCACAGTTGTATTCATTTCATAGGGATCAATTTCTCATTATTTGATTATTATTTCTCATTATTATATATATATATATTTTTTTTTAAAAGAAAAGTAATAATAAAATCTAATGTAGTTTTTATTTAATCATTTAGCTATTTATTAATCTCAACTACTGTATATCTCTTGGTACAGTATTTTCTGCCGTACACATCGCACTGCCCAGTGGCATCAGTCCAAATATGTCTAATAAAGTGGAAAAATCCATAAATACATTGCTTGGCCGTATACGTCACATCTATTATGCGTCACCGCTGATGTGTTGCATTTGTTACGTGTCACCGCTGACAACCCGGAAATGTGGGCCAGTGTTGTGCCAAAAATCCATTGGCGGCCGTGGGAGCGTGCACGGGAGGATTTTAACAAGAATTTAACAAGATTAACGCTTATAAACAATTATTTGTTTGCTTGAAATTATAGTAAAGGTGTGTCTCAGTCTACATTTTCCTTAATAAATGCACGTTGACGGTCAAATCAGCTGCATTTCAAAAGCCGATATGCAGATACACAAATGCGCAGAGGGCGACTCACTGTCCATTTCTTCGAAATTTAACATGATAACCACCTGAAAACAATTATTTGTTTGCTCGACTTTATAGTAAAGGTTTGTCTCAGTTTAACATTTACTTAATAAAAGGACTTTAACGATCAGATCAACTGTATTTCAAAAGTATTTGCTGCCCCGGTTCAAGGAGCGCGCTCTGAGGGAGGAAATCAGGAAGGAGGAATGCTGCACATTTCTTCGAAATTTAACAAGATAAGCACCTAAAAAAAACAATTATTTGTTTTCTTGACATTATACTAAAGGTGTGTCTCAGTTGAACTTTTACTTAATAAATGCACTTGAATGGTCAAATCAGCTGCATTTCACCGGTGCAGTGAAATTAAGCTGATTTGACGGTTGCTCCAAGCAACGAGCTGGACGAAGGTGGTAGACTATGGCAAGCCGAATGTGTCATTAATAGCCACTTTTACCTATTAAATGACACAACAGCATGCCATACTGCTCGAGTGCCATCTAGCGGCTGAAAATGGTAGTGTTCAATATTTTCAGTCAGAATGAATGAAAATGGTCATATCTCATTCAAATATAGATTTATAAATATGGGAACAAAATCCATAACTACGTCGCTTCGATGTATATGTCACAGGGCATGAAAATTATGCAATAAAAACCCATGACTTATAGGGTGAAAAATATGGTACTGTACATGTTTTGAGTGTTTTAACAGTTTCAAATTAATTGTCATGTTCTTTAAACCAGTGGTTCACAAACTAGGGTCCACAGACCTCCGTGAGATGATGCTTGGGGGTCCACCAAAAAAAAAA